GTGAGGAATGTGCTCATTGATGAGGATGACTAAAAAAAAGCAGTTCATTATAAAGAAAATTGATTATATTTTCCCAGCACTACCTCTTTAAATCAGGATCTTGAAAAGATGCTAATGCAATTAACATGTTCACAATTGCATTTGCATCCTTTAATTGAGTCATCTGGGTAGAAAGGATATAACAATTGCAATATATATAAATAATAATACTGTAATATTCACATTAAATAACTTGATATTATTCAATTAATATTTTCTATTTGGAAATGAAGGTGTGGTATGTGAAGAGAGTTCATGACTTAAATTGCTTTTCTTTTTTAATGGCTCATTTAAGAAGCAAATTATTTTAAATTGACAGACCTTAAAGAAGAATATCTGCATGCATAAATTACTCCCTAGGAGAAAGTTAGGGTATATGAAAATTGATTAACAGTGGAGTGCCATTTAAGATATTTAGTTCCCTGCAACAAGAGAATTGACTCATTAGGATTCTGTTAATTTCAATAATGAACACATACTGTCTTAATCAACTGAAACTGTAATCAAACTTTATCTAAAATAAATATATATCTATATTTCTATTGGGAATATCCTAGCAGTTAATATTAATAATAAACATGCATGAAGAAAATAAAGACAGCAATGTTGAAATGTGCTTAGTAGAAAGTTCTTTAAAATATTGAACAGGTATAATACTGATAATTCATTAAGTTTAGGAATTCTGAATCAAATGTAATTTGCACAAAACTGACATGGAAACCTGGGGAAAGGTAAGGAATATTAATATTAATTTAGATGATATTTATAAGAATTTATCTATGTTTACATGTGTAGTAAAATCTATTTGAATAGAATAGATTTTCTGCATCAATACATTTTAAACTGAAGTTGATGGCCTTGGGATTGTGAAAAATTTTCTCAGGTACTATTTAGGTATGCTGAAATCTGAAGAACATTTCCTGATTATTTCTCAGGAATTCACAGGCATGTCCAGAATTTGCCGTCAGGCAATAGCCATTCAAATACAGTACCTAGCAGCAGTTCTCAACATGTGGGTCATGACCCCTTTGGTGGGTCGAACAATCCTTTCACAGGGGTCGCCCGATTCATAGCAGTAGCAAAATGATAGTTATGAAGTAACAATGAAAAGAACTTTATGGTTGGGGGTCACCACAACATGAGGAACTGTATTAAAGGGACATGGCATTAGGAAGGTTGAGAACCACTTTACTAGTCTCTAGGAACTGGGAGCTAATGTATCCAGGAACTTCCTAGATGCTTTTTCTCTGAAGGGGAAATAGTAAATCATAGTGTATGCTATCTATTGTAAATCAGTGATCAGAAATTCCTCATACAAATGTATATATGCCATATCAAAAAACCAAAAGGGTGCATCTAAACTCAGTACAATACCTTCTTCCCCACCTAAAAGGCATGTTTAATTAAGAGAATATAAAATAATTTAGTGAATTACTACCAATTAGAAAATAACTTATTAAATGGATCAAACAAGGCACAATAGATTAAAAACATCTAAAGGCATTGTCTATGCAATCAGAAAACTCCTGTTCCATCCACTTTACTTGTGCATGCTTAGAGAGGAATGAGTAAAATGTTATTATTACTGTCGATAATGACCCAATACTTTTCAGCCACTGAAGTGAACTGCTAGAAAAGCAATAACTTTACTACAACTCTAGTATGACCCTAATTTCTTTTTATTATTGTCTTTGATAATTTCTAAGCAAATTACA